GAGGTGCCTTGGCCCAAAGCCATCGGTGATCGAGTCGGTGGCCTTGCTTGTGTTGGAATGGGTCGTAAGTTGCCGATTTTTCAAAAATATATTCATGGAATGCCGTAGCTAATATAATTGTAGCGGAATTTCGTGGCCGTGGTGTCGGCTTTGGGCTAGTCTGTGCTGCTATAATAGAGCTGCAGAGCAGAGGACTAACCGGCTGCTTTGTTGACTGGTCTACCGATAGACAAGTTTACGAGGAACTCGGTAAGTATCTCTTTGCATCCTTATTCGCATATGTTGCTAATATTCCACGTAGGCTTCGAAACCCACGGCAAATACCACAACATGGCGTGGCGTAAAGTATAATCATGATGAAATACCATTGTTTCATGCTTTCCTTCCCAACACGACTTCGGCGTCTCAGTGTGCATCATTGCTTTACTTCCCTTCTATATAAATATCCCCCTTTACTTTTTCCTTCACGTTTTTATACCTGGGGTTGCTTGATTTTAGGCTTGTAACTGCATGAAGATGGTGTGTGGTTGATTTTTTTTACTTCTCCTTGTGCATTTCGTCTTCGGACTATTTCCTTACACTTTCTTTCCGAATACCCCGTTGCGAAAAAAAAACTATTTCTTAGACCGGTACCATTCTTCTTCTATATTCTTTCTAGAAGAAGACAGTTTTCTTTTGTCCACAAAACATTATGATCACTTTTGTACCAAGCATATGCATGGAGACGGCGTCCTTTGTTCAGACCAAAAAAACCGGGTGCATCAGCGTGTGTTCAAACCGCAGTACTGCACACGTACTTTTTAAATTGAAATTTTTTTTAAAGGAGGGAGAGGAGGATATAACCAGGGGGCATTATATAGAAAAAAGGGGGGGGTAGGGGTTGCAGGTGTTTGTTTTCATCGGTTGTTCAGGTTGGAACGCTCGAAGCAAGTCTTCAATATTTTTTTCTCTTTCGTCCTTTTTTTTCTTTTTCTTTTTCTTTTTTTTTTTCTTTCTTAACGACCGATCGTGATTTGATACAGTAATGCAAAAAAAGGCTTACACGTACATATATATAAATTATTAATTGTTTGTAGTACTTGTCTCGTCGTTTTTAATGTGGACAATTGGGGTCTGTAGGCATGGGGCTTAATTCGCGATTGCAAATTTTAACTAACCTCGAGACCAAATTTTAACATGATCATGAATCGCTGTGCTTGCATGCCAACTTGCCTTTCTCCCGATTCGATATTATACATAACACATCGATGCCGAAAATCCGTCCTTCAATTTCAACAAATTAAATCTATAGACTGTAGCAATACGAGACTAAGACTGTAGCATCATTGTAGTCAGGACTAGAAACAATCTAACTTACAAGACAGTGGCCCGCCATGATTGATTAACATTATTTGATATTCTATTCGTAAAAAGAAAACTAGGTAAATACGACAAATCCCGTAATAAAGGAAAATTCGAAAGCTACTAATTTCCAAATAATATTATATATTGTACCCCCCTCGAAATTTCTCCATTTCTATATATCCCATATAGTCTTACCTGTTGAAAAGCGGGTTAGCCCCTCTTAATTAAAATATGCAACACCAGAATGCACTAATTTGCCAACTTTAGGAAACCGAACTGTTGCAGTTTAGGCCGTGCAGTTCTTATAGACGCGATGAATCCTAAGGACCCCAGGCGCAGCCGCCGTGCAGCGGACACCCCATTAAGCATTTCGATCGATCGAAAGCCTCATAAAGGAAGGCGGTACCGAAGGATCTCCAAACTCTATTTATTAGAACCTGGAGAAATAAAGTCTTAGGTATATCCTTGTAACTGCTATTGTTAAATGGTTTTTTTTTTCTGGATTACCATGTACTGTGCCCGATGTCGATGTGTGGAAAGGTGAGGTTTGGTGGCGATCAACTCCTAAGGAGTGGCGTAATAAAGTATTTGGGTGGTTTTGATGTTTTAGAAGCTTTTGTGAAGTAGATACGAAGTAATTTAAGTTTTTAGTTAGAAACAGATAGTTTTATTCGAGAATGAGAACGGTTATATAACTTAACTAATGCTGTTGTGGCCGGTTAGGGATTCATGAGATGTGTAAAATTTTTATCTTACAAAAGTGTTGAAGTTGTTGTAAATTTCAATCCGGCAAAACCTTCTATCTACTTTTAGCCTCGGTAAACACTGCCTTCATTTTTTCTTCCCTCTCACCCAAAAATCTTTTAACCTTCATCTGCGACCAAACCAAATCTTCAATCTTCAATCTTCAAATCTTCAATCCCACCAACCATCACAATCACATAACCAGAACAATGGCGCCCGTAAAACGCCCCCGCGCATCTTCAGCCTCAAAAAACTCCCTCTCATCCTCCAAACGGCGAAAAACAAACTCCTCATCTTCATCAACCACAGATCCCAAACCCTTCACACCAGGAAAAATCTCCTCCTCCAAACGTCACAAGAAGCCTGCGACTGCTACTTCATCATCCACTTCATCGTCGACCACAAAATCTGCTTCCACAAGAATCCGTAAACCCCATAAAAAACCATTGAAAGATCGCTATACAGATGCTCAACTTAAACTTCCAACTCTGAATGGTATCGTCCCCGCTGGTGTTACGAAGCCACGGGGGAAGAAGAAGGGGAAGGTGTTTGTGGAAGATAAGGAGACTATGATGGATATTCTGGAGTTGGTGAATAACAGTGTGGATGGAGTTATTCAGGGTAAAGTTGAGAAGAATAGACGATTGGAGGTTATTAGAGAACAGAAACGGAAGGAGCAGGAGAGGAGAGAGAAAGATAAAGAAGCTAAATTGGTATGTTTGTATAATTTCGATAACTGATAATCAATTAGATAGTTACTAATGGTTTACTGGTATAATAGGAGGATGTAAAAGACTCGTTGAAGAAGAAGAGGAAGCGAAAGGTCGGGAATGCAACAAATGACGACGAGGATGTTGATAAGAAACCGACAAGGTCTGCCGGGAAGAGGAAGAGTGTTTCTTTTGCTTAAAGAATTCGATCGTTCGAAAAACAGCGACTGGCGTTTATAGGAGTTTCTCGAGTCGGGAATTTAACAGCAAAGTCAACGGTTTTATCTATCGAAAAAGCAGAGTTTATTACCATCTATGGTACAAAAAAGATCACGCCCATATGATGACTCCATTTATACCGTTTCTACAAAAGCAAATTCTACTCCCATCTATGTTCTACCGACGTCTACGAAGTCCCCTTCTTTCTCTACAACTTCCAATCCCGCCATCCTCTCCAGAAACCCCATGATCGGCTTGGGAAACCACCTTTGCATTCCCCATTCAAACCATCCCAGGTGTCCACCGTACCCTGTTGTCACAAAGCAGATGTAAGGATTCGCCTCCGCCTCCTGTCTTGGAAACGCATTCTGAAGCGAAATCGGATCTTCTTCGGCGTTTATAATCAACGTTGGGATCTTTACATCGATCAATTTATCCACCGAACTCGATGCACGATAATATTCTCCTCCGGTTCTAAATCCAAACACCGGCGCAGTAACAGCAGAATCCCAGTCGTAGAGATAAGTTGCATTCCGGGCGCCTTCGATATTTATTGCCGGGTTTTTGGAGAGCATATCGAAATTTCTTTCGAATAGCTTTTTGAGATTCCCAGCCATGAATTTGGAATATAACCGGCCGGTGAAGGTCATGAACATGATTTTAGCACAGACATCCATGTTGTGCGGGGAGGAGAGGAGGACTGCGGCGTGGAGTGGGGTGGAAGAACCGGCCTGGCCAAGGTAGTCTAGGAACCTATTGTTAGTAAAGAAATGCTTGTTTTTTTTTGAATGGACCGGCGGATACGGACTTGCGAGAATATTTGCGCCGAGGGAGAATCCAACTGCCATAAGTGGACGTTTTGGGAACTTTCTGCGCATGAGATTGACGATGTGTTTGATATCCCTGGTGAACATTGCGTTAAACATCTTATTATCTGGATTTCGATATTAGCTAGGATTCTGTATTATATTCTCTGTATTTGATATATATACCCGTTAATTTCGTCCACCCACATCCTCTTGCATTCACAACCAAAGCATCGTATCCCAAACCTCCATCCTTTTTAGGTCGAACGAGTGGTTCAAGCGTTAAGCGTACATATGTCTCATGCGACCCGCCGCTAAGACCGTGAAGCGCTATAATCAGCGGGTTTGTTTCATCGTCTGACTTCCATTCCTCGAATTCATTCTCTGTAAAGAAAGTTGTACGTGGAGGGAAATAATCCGGATGAGTTTCTGGTAATGCTGTTTTCGACGATTGATCTTTATCTTCTGTAGGGTTTTCAGGCGCGGGGATTACAACGTCGATACTGAATGTTCCCGGATCGTTTGGAGTTTCTGAATTTAGTACATGTCGTTTGTAGTGTATAGGAACATGATCTGAAGCGAATAAAATAGCACATGTTTGTAGATGACCGTTTCGGAGGAGGGGGTGTGGGTAATATGGTGGGATTGCAGATTTACAGACTGATACTAGGGATTCGGAGACATCGGAATCTTTGGGTTTGAGGAGGACCGGGGAAGGGTGGTGATAGTATGTTTGTGAGGCGGCGAACATGGCGAATGAATATTATTTTTATATTTAAATGCAAAAGATATATTTATTTTATTACGATCAAAGGGAATCAAAACCTTCAAAGACGAAAGGAGAAATACCTTGAATACCTTTTATATTCCTTATCAGAATTTTTGGCGACAGCGGGCCACTGCATGGAATTCGACAAAAACGGACGAGCCGAGGCATAAGCTCGGGCCAATCAATCTTAACGTCATGGCGGACAGAAGAACCTGGTAAGCTTCTTTGCTTTGGTAAAGGGAGCCCACGGAACCTAAGCTGTCCGAGATGGCGGTAGTTAGCTAAGGTTTCATCCGGTCTAGTCATTTTTTCGTCCCTTGAGATCAGTTCTCCGATGACAGTTATTTTGTATTAAGAGTGATACTTTATAGCTGGTATCTCAAGAAAGAATAAATGTATGCAAACACAGGCTGCATGGTGTAATGACTAGCACATTCCATTTTTAAAGATTTCAAAAAGGAGAGATGTCGGTTCAAATCCGACTGCGGCCCCTTAAATCATATCTTTTTTTTGCTGATTTAAGGATCTCTTTTTAGGCTCAAGGAGGGCGATCTGGAATGGAGCACTCTTCGTGGAGCTGGCTGGCATGGGTCCATGCATGCATGCGGCTGTAAATGGCATGGCTATTGCCGATGTGCAAATGCCTAAGCTTCGAGACATCCCGCTTGGAACATTGTGCTGTCGGGGCTTTGTCTACATCTATGATACATTTTGTGTTAGATTGTCCAGATACATATCAATACTATCTGATGGATGGTAAACAGACTGGATAATGTAAGTGTACTTACAAAGACATAGATGTTACAGATGCCATGTTGTCGATGTAGATGTGGATGTAGCTATCATGATGGTGTAATTGAGATGTGTCGGTGTGTTGCATATGACGTTGGTGGGAATGGAAAGTCCTGCCTGTAATGTAATGTTCCTGGCGTAATCCCTCCTCGCCCTCCTTCGCTCGACCTTGTCCCATCCCCATCCCCATCCCATCCCATCCTTCTTCTTCTTTCTTCTTCATCATGACGACTACTACTCCTTCAATACCTAGATTATCCCTATCCTCTTCTCCTCGTAATAGACATCACGATGTCTCCCGTATCTCTCACGCCCGCCCAATCCCACGCCCTCCTTGACATCCTCACCCATCGCGAGACTTACACAGCTGAGATCGAGTTATTCAAGACGCCTGGCATAATCACTTCATACGGTCCACCTTTCCAACCCGATCCACCTGCTACTAGTAGTAATAGTAACAGTAGTAATAATAATAATAATTCTAAAAATGACGGTACTGACGGTTCCAAAAAAGACGACGATGAAGCCGAACCCAAAAAAGTCACCTCGAAATCGCCCATCCTCCAACTCCTCTTCTCAACCTTCATAGTCCCCATCCCAGGCCTTCGCGATATCTCCCAAGATTTCTGGTCGAAACGTGTCCAACCTCTCATCGATGATCTCGCTAAAGCAAACCTTTCGGAATCATATGATAAAGGTTCCATGGGTATTCGTAAAACCCTTGCTACCGCCATCTCGGCTTTGATAGAATACCCTGCTCGAGGAATACTAGGCGGTATGCCAGGACGAGAGATTAAACCGGACCCGAGTCGAGCGTATGATGTAAACCACCAGCAGGATTTAGTTGATGCATGGAGGGAGTTTATGAGACAGGTTGTGTATGGAGATTTGTTGGATGAGTTATTTGAAAAGGCGGCGCACAGTGATGATTTGCAGGCTCATAGTGACTTGGTTATTGCGGCGCATCAACATATTGTCGTCAAGTATGTCCAGCTCAAGCAAGAAAACCCAAGAAAAGGATGCCAGAAAGCTAATTCATAGCTCTTGATGATTGCAAGCTTAGCATCTTTGGCGCATTATGTGTTAGTCACCTCGCCGAAGGGACAGACGCTGTTGTCATTGGTGGAAAGGACGAATAAGTTGATTCCATATCGGATCGTTCGACAGACTTTGAGGGTCGGTAATGCCGCCACCATGATTAGTGGAATGACCCGGTTGGTGCTAGCAAAAGTTAGTATTGGAACACTCACAAACTGGATTGGTTGGAGTAGTGGGGCAGACGAGGGGATGAATCTCCTCCAAACGTATGTCCGAATATTCTTTCCATCTAAAATACATTAAAAAGACATTTCTAACAAGCTACATTAGTATTATATACACCGTTCTATCCTGGGAAATCAAAGAACTCGAATCCCGAGTTACAAAGCTCGAAAAATCCAAAGATTGTCCTTCAAAACAGCACCTTGCAGCCATTCTCGCCTACACAAAACTTAACCGCATTGATCAAGAGGACTATCGTGTGATCAGTAAAGCTTCATCTACCTCTATAGTCCACTCAATCATCTCGCTCGCACCCTCATCTCCTTCCACGGACTTCACGGCAGATGGTCATAAACTTCTCCTCGAGTATCTCTCAATACAACTATCGATCCGTGATAGAGAACACCTGATCCTCGTTTTATGCAAGTCAAATCCAGACGTACTAACCGCAGCCATCCGAGATATCGTCCAAATATACGAACCTATCTTACGAGATCTCCACAATTCAGTCGATCTCAGCACTACGATCGCAGATTTTGAACGTTTTCTTAACGATATGATAAAAACGGCCAAAATCCCATCAGCCGACGGCACTAGCACCCCCACCACCACTGATGAAAACGGACTACGGAAACCTCCTGGTGTTGAAGAATTCGTTAGATTATTCGAAAGACACCAAAAGAGTTGTCATGTTTTCCTTCACCAGTTCTGCAAAAAGGGTGATATGGCGAAAGAGTTGTGGTTGGAGTATGCAAAATATGCGGCGAAGCAGTTTAGACGACCAGAGGGTGTTACGGGTGAAGGTGCTGGGGGGTTCACAGCTACATTGAATAAGCTTGTCAATGAGTTAAATGAAGAAGATAAAAAGGTTGTCTTGCAGCAAATGGACGAGTATGAGGAATACCTCCAAAAACTCAACCAAAAGACAAAACGAAGGATGGCATCCATCGTCTCGATGAACGACGGAGAACTGAAGAAACCATTGAAAAAGGGACCTGGAAACTTTCTGTTCAAATGGCAGGAATTATTAGATTCGACGGAGATTACGCCTGCTGAAGCTACTGGTGGGAAAGTTAGGTGTGGGAAGGATACTAGTGTTAGAGCTGCTAGTGGGGTGGGTTTGGACGGTGTGAGAAGAGGGGGGAAGTCAGTCGCTGGAGTTGGTGAGATTGTGAATGGAGATGGTGTGAAGGAGGTAGTAGAGATGCCGGATGTGAGGAAGACGGTGGAGTTGCTGTTGCCGCGGTTTAAAGAGGTACTCGCGAGTAGGGAGTACCTTGAGAAGGAAGAGAATGGTAGTGACGACGACGATGACGACGATAGTGATTCATTCTTTGAAGCTAACGAGGATCTAAGTAAGGACCCACTGGAGTCGAAAGTGTAAGATTACTCAAATATACTTTGCGGAATATATACGATGACATACTGGATTGGCGCTTCGGCATGGCGCTTTGGATGGTGTATTTCATAGAGCTAGAGTTGGAATTTATGCAATTCATTTTAGATTTTGAGACTGTAAGAACATGGGTAGTTAGACTATTTATTGGGTAAAGGGAGGATGACAAGTGTACCTCATATTCGAATGAAAGTATCTTACAAACAGAGAAGAGAATGGTAAAAGAAAAGAGGAAAACAGCCACTGAACACCGGTAAATGATGACGCTGAAGCAAAACCATAAGGAAAAGAACAAAGAACTATCCAGATAACTAGTGGATAATAGTCATAAATAACATCCCCATGTCTTCTAATATCGCCTATAACGACAGATAGACGAAAAACAAATTTGGTGAGTGTAATGGGCATACACCAAAACATATAAAAAAGGGCTTTTCGATTGAGGGTAGTAAGGCAAATTGATCTACTGGACGGCTCGAGGCATAGGTTGCTCATGTTGGGTCTGTGGTCTGACATTCTCCGTGCGCGGTTCGAACAATCTCCTCCAAATTTCCGGTGGATCCAAAGGTCGAGAGCCGTTTCGAACGGTTGGGTAGATGTCCATAAAGAAGAAGTAGACTATAGTACATTGATTGATGATTAGCATTTCATTGCAGCAGCAGGGTTTCCAGGGTTTTCGGGTTAGGGTCATTATACGTACTATGTCCAATGACAATACCTAGAGCATCATCCTTAGGCATGTTACCATTGATCAACAAGCTGAATCCGAGAAGGACGAAGGGGAGGTAAGGCGCGTTGAACACGAATAAACCCAAAAAGCTCAGTCGAACCGATGGATTCCTTCGTGCCCAGATGTATACGATCGAGAAAGCAAGCGGAGAGCCAAGGAACGGCATTTGAACAAATGTCGCAGAGCAAAACTAAAGTCGTTCACGCATTAGCTTTTTTTTCTTCCAATATATTTCCTCAATCTCTTTTCATTAATTCTTCGTGAAGATAACTTACCAACAAACAAGTACAGCTATACAACAGCAACCACGCAAAATCCGCCGTCTTCCCTTTAAAGTAAGTCTCCTCCAACATCCGACTATACCGCGCCAAAAAGAACATATGGAACATAAAGTCCACGCTTAAGGGACCAAAATATAGGAATGTGGTGATCAATCGCCAGTACTGCCGTTTGGAGAGGACGGCTGGAAGGGAGAAGAAGAGTTGAAACGGGGAGACCAGGTGACATTGGCAGGCGAGAGCCGTGGCGACAGCTGCCGATGCCCAGATGCGGGTGCATACTGGGATTTCGTAGAACCATTCTTCGATTGGGACGGCGGCCATTATGGTGGGGGTATGAGTCGATAACGATGAAGGGTAATGGCGATGGTGATAGTTGAAATGGAGTCTAACCAGGTTGATGTTAGTCGATTGGTTAGTATTGCTGGCGTTTAGTCATGAAAGTCGCAGCAAAGGGGGTGAATAGATAGGAGTTTGGAGGTGGCGATGGCGATGGCGATGGTTGGATGGATGGGTGATGGTCAAGATAGGGCGACTCTGTACACACAGCTCTAACGGAGTATTATAAAGCGACGCGGGATGACAGCCCTACATTCCGACCCAAAACGTGGCATGTTGGATGTGTTGATGTGTTGACTCCCATAGACAGCAGAATTCAGGATGCGATTATAAGCTCCAAGCGTAGTGTCAGTAAACAAGCTCCTATAGCTCAGTTGGTAGAGCGCGACACTAGTAATGTCGAGGTCTACGGTTCAAATCCGTATGGGAGCATTATTTTTTGCAGTTTTTTTGCTCCTGGCGGCCTGGTTTTGGTAGGTTTTTTCTTGATATTTTGCGCAGGAACCCCGTCCACCATACCCTATCTTGTAAACCAAATGCTGCTGTGTAGCGGTAGCACCGTACTTACAACGGGACCTATCGATATTATGTCAAGGATTGTACCGACCAGAAGAAAAAAGTATCTCGTTATAACTCTGTCAGCAGTTCATTTCGACAGTTTAGTTTTTTGGATTCAAAAGCTCTATCTCTCTCTAT